CTTTTATAATTCTTACTTTATAATTATAATAATTTCGTTACTAACTGACATTAGGTATTTTAAATTTTAATTTTCATCTAGAAGTTATGTGTATACAATCAAATTGTTTAATTATGTAATACTTGATATTATTATGTACCTACGCTTAAAATATACTTAAAACTTGATTTGAAATTCGGAAAAACTACATAAACACCTTCATTCAAAATATGTCTTCTCTTACATTACCATAAATTCAACGTCGATTAAAAAGAAACCGGTCTAGATATCCCCTAAAATAGAGGAAAAAAATTTCTAAGGTTCTGTTAATGAACGGTCTTCTCTTTACGTTAATCATGTTTGTATATTTCTATGCTATCCTTATTACTTATTGTTTTTTTATTGTGAACAGATTGAATAAATATTGAAATAAAAAAAAATAAGTTTGGAAAATACAAAATAATATTATTATATTATTATATTTGTTTTTTATTTTATTTAGCTTCCAGCATAAATTATTATAGCTCTACAATTAAAATGATAACAAGAGTTGCGTATATTTTGTGACAAATGAAATATATAAACATAATATAATATAACTATAATAGCACTATTTGTAGGTATAGATTAATAAAGTAGTATATTTATACACATATTTACGATTATATACGTAGAATTATTTAAATAAAGTTATTTAAGATAAATAATAATATAAAATTATGAAACTAATAATGTTAGCTTATAATTACAATAAAACAATAACAATATTTATGAGAATAAGTCCAATAGTATTTAATAAAGTCGTTTACAAGGACATGAGGTCCTTTATGATAGCAGTGAAATTTCTTAATATTCTAGAATATAAATATTTATAATTTTTAAATTGAATTTTGAAAAATTGACACGAGTAAAAAAATAGATAATCGTTATCGGATTTATTTTCATCCATATATTGAAACAGCATTAGTATCAAAACGTGTAATAATTAATATCATGTATTAGATGATAGTGTAGTACAATATTATAACTCATAAAATAGGTATCGATGATGTTATAATTTAATTTGCATTTTAATGTTAAGTTATTCACACAACGTTCTCAACAGGGTGGTTTGGAGTATTTTAGAACTAATTTTATTCGTGAGCAGATTATCGAAGTTCAGTACATGCATGTGGAAATATAATATCATCAAAGAGTTTAGGGTAATTACCAATCACTAATGATCTACTGTCGTAGTTATTAAAAATATATATTATATTATAAATTGAAATAATTGGCAAAGGATAAATACAGGTTGGTATAACTGATTGTTCAATAAAAATTCAGGCGAGGGCTGATACAGTAATAGATATTTAACCAAAATATTAGGTTTTAACTTAGTTACCATACTAATGATACGGGTTAAAAGCTTCATGATAGTGTAGGTTGATAAGGAAATAAGTTGGCCGATTTGCATAGTAATATAACATTGTTACTTACACACGTGCTCCATAATCTATGATTGTTAATTTTAATTACAGTGTTTTAATTTAATCTAAATCAGACATGTCAAACAAGTGGCTCTCAGTTAATTATTTTATGTTCCACGGATATCAATTTCAATGACAGATTATAAAATTAATATAAAAAATAAATTATACGATTTTCATACACATCGTTCACAACTATCTCTGTCATATATTATGTTAATTTTATGTCCCATCTTCGATAAACTATAATTGAATAAGTACRATGTACATATTGTGTATTATTTATTGTAAGTAATGAATAAAATAATAAATATTTTCAAAACTATAAAATATTTTTTCCTATATATTTTCATACCCAGGATGCGTAGTAAAAAACAACGTTGAAATAATTTATTAAATATTTTTATTTTCACGTTACGTGACCGCGTCGATGATTGTTGGAAACGAGATTATCTCCGTTATATATATTTAAATAGCATCTGCCTAATTAAACTCGATGGTTTATTGAAAATAAATAATAAATAATGATAACATGCTCGCATAACGCAAATGGAGGTTAAATATATTTTTGTTCATACCACTGATACCGTCAGATGAAATACCACCCTAGTTAAACTATAACATTATTTCATACACCTATTTAATTTATATGATATAATATATGATCATTTTTGTTCTCATTACAGCAACATACCTACTAAAACGCTACACGCCCAAACAAACGAAACGAGACGAATTAATCAAACTAGTCACTGGCATATTTATTTTCAGAATTTACATTTTTAGTTTCCATAAATCGTTGTACGGCCTAATATGCAGGCAAGAGATGTACATTTATGCGTATAAGTACAATATTATTTTTAAATGTTTGTTAGTAAGTTGCTGTTGATTTTTGTCGTTTTACTCAATACAATAATTTTAAACTAAGGACTAATCAAAAAATGTTTTTTTCTTTTAGATTAAGTTAAAAGTCGACATATCTATTTGCATTCCATTCAAATTTAAATTTAAAAAAAAATCAAGTAAAACAACATACCCATATTATACATGACATAATATAATTTATGTTGTATACAATTATTATTGAGTTCAAATTCAAAGTTCAAACGATGGTATATTAACAACGTAAAAAAATCAGGTGAATACAGAATGTTATGATTTCTAAAATATATAGGTAGGTATAAATTAAATGAACTCGTGCAGGCTAGGTGAGGCACTACATCATTATTTATACATTTTCATGACTTTTTATGACTTTCTTTAAAATTTGAAGCTTTAAGATATGAATACAATTTCTAGTATTATTGATACATTTTTATTCCTGCAAGAATAACCTGTGAGAAAATGTTTATGAAAAGTACACACATATTAATTCAGGAAAAAAATGTTTTCAACTAAAATCAAAAAATTACTGCAACAATTTAAAATATTTAAAATATTTAAAATATTTAAAATATTTTGAAAATATTATGATAATAGGTTTTTTAATTTTTTTTTTTAAATGTGATGTTGCTTTGTAAATATTCTCTCTTTTTTTAAAATACATTTTATTTTAAAAAGCACTGTGTATGGTTGAACTCCAACCCTCATCTTCCCAACGTTTCAAGTTGATCCAATTTTCTTCTAAAAACCACCTCAAAGTTGAATTTTAACCACTTTATAATAATATGATGATGACAGATACATAACACACACACGCGCGCTTGTGAATATAATTTTAAGACCTCCACGGTGAAATGCTTTCATCAATATACTCAAAATCTAAAAATCTGGTTTTATGTACTCGAGTAGCTTATCTAGTATATTGTACAATAATCTATTTATGAACGAAATGGAATCGTGTTTAGAATATACGAAATCAATATTCTATATTCAAAAGCAATTGAATAAATATACAATCCTGATTTTCAATCATATATTCCGACWATCATTATTATTATTATTATTATTACATACTACTTCTATATGTGCTATGCTTAAAAAAATACTGGCAATAATGATTATTTAACACAAACAACTTTTGCTATTTTGACTTTATAGAATATGGTTTGGTGATTTTTTTAAAAACATTGAAATTTATAGCTCGTGTTCTGTTCAAGTAAAAATTAAATATGTGATTTACAAAAAAAAAGAATGTTATTGAAAAATATGACCTTTGATCAATTAAAATAGGCAAATTAGTATAGTTCTGAATTATAATCATTGTTTTTAAGCAGAACAACACACAATTTTTAAATTGTTTTTCTTGCTCTAAAATTTTTATTATTTATTGTAATGTTGACTAATATCTATACATTTATTATATCTAACACAATTCAAAAATTATGAATTTCCCATGTGAGTCACGTAAAAAAAAAATACGTTAAATTTGTGAATAGGTAAATCCAAAATAATGATGTGATTAGTCACGTATAGCTGAGACCTATGACACATGCTTAATGCCTATCAGCAATCGGAATTCTATATTTTATTTGATTTTGTGTAAAATCGTTCATACTACCTTGAGTAAATTTTTATTGTTATCCACTGATGTAGTTTTGTTTTTTATTATTATTGAAGGAAATTTTAATGTTTTAGAGCACCGAGTATAATATTCTAATGCACATCCTGGCAATATTAATATTTTAGGTACTGTGTTTTGTTATGGAATAAAACTGAATTGTAGAATATATATTTTGATTATTATAACGAAAAGTTTTCTAATTTCCCGTGGATCTATTCAAACAAATAATTTGAAACGAGTTCACGTACTTTTGAATATAATTATGAAAAATTATTTGTTAACAATAATTGTTAGATAAAATTTTGAATTCATTCAGGCATAATATATCCTCAACATCAAGCGAAATCAATTGGACTTATTTGTATATAATATAATTTATTACGTCAGATAAAAACTAAAAAAAAAATGTATTATTGAATTTCTTCTGGTAACAGCCTTAAAAAAGTAAGTGTACAGTAAACTATTAATGGGTGCAAAAAATAAATAGGTACGCTTAATGAAACCATATTCTATCCTCTCACCACGTAAAAATCAATAAATATTAATATATTGTATTAATATAATACAATATATTTATTATATAATTATAATAATGTATTCATAATGTAGAATATAGCTAGGTACCGTTTAATTTATTGTAGGTACTRTTGGATTTATTATTTTAATACATTTAATCGTAATATACAAAATAAAAATTCGAATAAAATAATTATAAGCAATTAAAAAATATCCTACTGTTATTGTTTATCATAAATTCATAATGCATATTTTTTACTTGACATATCGACAGTAAACTTATTATAGGTATGTTTATTTTTGAAAACATTAATAATGAAAAATKGTATTTTATAATATTAAAAACATGGTACTGAATAGTTTAAAATTATATTTTTATGGCAACGTTGCACTCGTTTTCGTATGCAATCTTGTGATGTTTTTCAAGGTCAGTCGGTAGAGTTGATATCGTACAGAATCGTAAATACGTACTCAATCTTGCCACCCCATTAATAAATCAACAAACGCACGCGCAATTGCAAAAAAATACTCACGTTATTCAGTTTCAGCTTGCCAGTTTTTGGTTTATCACTCTTGTAATGTCCGGACAATTGGTAAAGTACGGCTCTGCTTCTCCGCCGTCCGTATGCGTTACTAGCTGGTTCAGGTTCTTCAGGTTCGGCTTCCTCTGTACAAACACAAAATACGAATCGATGATGACAATAATATAATATGATCATAATAATATAGATCAGCGGTTATCAACCTGTGGTATGCGGAAAGCTCATAGGTGGTACGCGAAGAAAATCTACCTTTATAAAAAATTAATTTATTAACAAAATTCTATACATATAACATAAACGTATACATTATCAATAAGCAAAAAAATGGTCAGGTGGTACACAAAAATTTTCAAATTGTGTATGTGATACGTGACTATAAAAAGGTTGAGAACCGCTGATATAGACAATACAATTTTGTTAGCGTTTAAATAATAATAATAAAAATGTTATATATTATATAAAATATAAATCCTAGCAGTGTACCGCTTCCGGTCGGTCGTCGTATATTATTAGATAAAAGAATGTCGTGAATAATATACAAGACGCCGTGTGAAAAATATTATGTAATTCGCATAAAGGTTTAATATATAAAATATACATAATATGTGAAATATACACGAATTTCATATTTTATTTTTTTCCCTTCGTATTTCGAATTTTGACATGGAATGTGTATCACTAAACGTAATGGAAATTCGTCATAGTAAAATTTTTATTACCATAACATCGAATCAAATACGGTTTTGTGTCAAGTACGTGTATATACACCAAATGCCAGCGCATTTCACGTATAAGCGCCGAAATATAAAATTCAATTTATTTATTTGACAACGAAATCGGCTGAACGCCGTCAGTGATTGCTATTCGTGCATAGGAAAGACGAATAAATATTATAATTATATACTATATGCACCAGAAATGATAAAATGTGTATGGCACACATCGTCGTATTAATATCAATAACTTATATAAATGGTTTAAGGCCATATCTCAAAAATCATRTTTATATACCTACCTATAACGATGTAATAATATGATACTCATATTATAAATTAATTGAAAACAATAATTTATTCCATAGTAATAACAATATTCTTCCGCTAAACGTAAATTATTATTAGGTATTATAGGTGTATTGTTTGACTACCGGTCCGATGATAAAATACCAGCTAAGCTTATAGCAGTTAAAATTAAGGTTGTTTTTTATAATTTTTTTATATTAAAAAGTACCTAACACTAAATCGCATGTATCTACATTAGATGGAAGATACGTTTTATTATCAACAATTGCAGTCTGCAGTCCACTAGAGGATACGAATATTAATTGAACGTTCCATTTGATTTAAATTTTTTAATCGCTGTTTAAATAAAAAATAAATAATGTTCTTTACATTAAAAATTATATGATAGCAAATGAGAGGCTTTTATTGTTATTAAATAAATGTAATAAMAATCGCTTTTTCAGTACCTATCGTGTAGAGAAATTAACAATTTTATATTTAAAAATAGCTTTCCCATTTGAGAGAGATTAGATATTCTATCAGTAAATAGCTCAACAAGAATCAACATTTTTTGAAAATTTTGTTTTGTATAAAAAATGCTAACACAAATATTTAGTGAAAATTTCCAATACCTACGGTTAATTTTTCCAATCATAAGTTTTCACGAAAAACCAAAATTTCAACAGAATACAATTTCTAGTTTTTCCATAATTTTTTTAGTTTTCTCGACGCTTTTTAAAACTACTAGGAGTATTTAATTTTGATATAAATATTTCACCAACTGGATTCATTTTCCTACCAGGCTATTTACTGAAATTAATCAAAACATTATTTCAACTATTTATCATGTAAACGGATGAAAAAATTCAAATAATCACGACGCTCAGAATCTAAATTATAAATTTATAGAATGAATATAACATGCAATATTCAAAATATTAATACTAGTTATTTAAAAAAACATCTCTAAAATCGATACCATATGGTTTGATACGATTTCGGAGTAATTTACATATATATTTTTTTCTTGGAAATAATGTCATTCCTTTAAACTCTTAAAGGGTGAAAAATTAAATTTATATTATATCAGCTGCCTACTTTCTTTATACGAATTTTAAACCCTGAGGTATGGAGGACATTGTCGAATTTATAAATTTTAATACGCTAAATTCCCAAGAGACTCCCATTGAATCAACACATTTTATTAATACATAATATGTAAACTATAAATACGTACTTCTGTAGTAATGTATAATTTATAAGTTGCAATAGGTAGTTATAATTATTGTAAGTACAGTAAACGGCTGGTACACGATTAATTAATATTAATCAAATGGTATTGATAATATTTTTTAAACAATAGATATAATTGTTATAAGCGATTGACATATTCAATTCATTTTAATGTGAATACCTYCGTTCATATAGTTTGTTGGAAAAGCATTGAAACCGGCACGTTTTTAGTAGGTACAAAAAAACATTGTTATAAGAAAAATTCTCATACTCTGTATAAAATGTTGCAAGTTTTTTTTTTATTTAAAATAATTGAACATTTTGCATGTCAGATCAAAGCCAAATTAAAAAAATTAAACTTGTAAAAATTAAAATATTCATTTTAATAAAAAAATATCAGTTTTTTAGGTATTTTTCTAGCACTATTTTTGAAAATGAAAGTTTTGCCTTGATCCAACTTAAAAGTAGTTCTGTTGAATAAAAAAAAAAAATCAAAATTTGAAATATTAATAAGCCATTAGAGATTTGCCTGTGAAGTAATTTTTGATACTTAAAAGCACAGTTAAACCTAAAAAAATCTTGGATAGTAAATTAGTGGGAAAATATAATGCTAATGATAGCAACTAAAATGTAAAATTTAATGTTAATATTTGATTGCCAAAAATAAAGTTTAAGTGATGCAAAATATTTAAAGAATTAAAAAAAAATATGATTTTCAGCTATATTTTAGGATTTCAAAGTTTAGATTTTCGATTTAAAAGAAAAATAGGGGGCCAAAAAAATACTGAAYCATTCTGATCTCAATCGAAATCTCCAGTATTAATAAGGTTATCGATTACATTCTTGTTGTAGAAAAATGCCAGGCAATTTCGCAAATTGGAAGTTTGCGAGTTTTTGTAAATAATAATAATAATCATCATCTTAAACAAAGTATTTTCACATTTCATTTGATTCAGTGGTATTGTTCCTTTTTCTATTATCGTTTAAATAACATTCCAATCTTAAAATCACCTTTGATCAAATCTCAAGATTAAACGATACACCACAACTGATTGACAAAACTTCATTCGTATCGTGTCTTACATTAATAATCTAATCTAACAATTCTAATCATAATCCTACCGGCACTTCGAGTATATATTTAAATCTAAACATTTAACTCAACGTATACATTACTATGAAAAAACAACTAAGGTTATAAATGTATAAGTGCTAATATTAAGCTTTTAATTATTAATAAATAAAAAAAAAAACTTTCTTCTCTCATAAAAGCACTAGATTATTCCGATTGTATATCCGTGATATTTATCACAATATTTATCATTAAGCTGGTCGTATATTAAATAAAAATTTGAAATATTAGAAATTGTTAATAGCTAGTAGATTTTCAAGATATTTTGTACAAGGTTCTRAAATATCTGAATTATTAATATTAACATTTTTATTAAAATTCCACTATAAACAGATAAATAGCTAGTATTCATAATATGAATAATGTTTAGTAAATATAATGATGATAAGCTAAAAAGTATAAAATATGTTTCAATTTTTTACAGTAGCATTGAACTAGTCTGTTGCACATTAATGACATTAGTTAAATAAAGCATGAATAATGAAAATAATAAAGAAGAATATAAATATGTATATTATCATCACTTAAGTTGTAAAATAAGAGAAGTGTTAATAAATTATAAAAATATTCTAAACTTGTCAAAGGCATGCATTGTTGGTTTTTAGATATATGTATAAGTACATTAAACATAACTTGAGTATGAAAATAGATTTTCCTGAATGTTAGTTTCCAATAATAATATAATAATAACATCGTTTATGATGTACGAGTACATAAAAAAAGATAAATATAATATTTTGTAGAATTTCTTTACTTAATACCTAGTCAAGATTATACTAATGCTTACAGATATATTTATAATGATTCTGAAAAAACTAGTTAAAATAGTTGGAAGAAAAATATTTTAAAACAAATATGTATAGGTAACTAAGCGATCACAGTAAAGAATAAAGATGCTCGATTTAATATTTCGTTCAGTTTCTTTACTTAAAAGTGGAGCATAAACCAATAAAAACAACATAATATGCACGTAGAAAYACTTAATATGATTACAGGAAAAAATATAAAACAGTTTAACAGTAAATATTTTATTTAATTTTTTTAATTTTAATGATTAACTAAACGATTATAATAGAGTGTTAGATGCGTTGTAATAGGTTTTTAAAATTTACGTTTTATTATGAGTTTATGGTTTATATTCAGCTGATTACAATTTTTAGTAGATCATCACTTTTGTGATGGCTTGGGGACAAAAATAATATGTGATACTGTAGTACTTAATAAAATAAGTGATCCGGCAGTGGTGACATTTTCTAAAAGACCTGGATTAAATAATTTATTTTGATGCTTATTTAAATTGATTTATTATTATTTGTATAATATTCGAAAACAAACTAATACTATAAGTTCACTAAATAATTCTTGTATTTTTTATTATTATTATTTTCATTAATATAACTCAAACTATTTGTTTTATGATATAAGTATTTTTAAATCTATGCAATTAATACACATACAATATTATAACGAAAAATTATTAATCATAAATTCCAACTGTTAACATAAGTTATTTACGTTATGTATAATTTATTTTTGTAATAATATTTAAAAGTATATAAATATTAGTTTGAAAACAAAAACCCGTCACTGACTCAAGATTCGGGAATGCTGCGTGTCGGCGTTTAACAAAAAGGAATGTATCAAAGTTATAAAAGCACAGTTCCAGAGAAATACGTAGGAATATAGAAATGATTTTCAAGCGATGTTTGTCAAATAACAAGAAATTTGGTTTATCACAGATAAAAATATATAGGCCCAC